TTTTTTTTTTTTTTTCTTTTTTGCTTGTTTTCAGTCAGGAAATTGTGAAAGAGACAGCCTATACCTAACTGGTCATGCCCTTTTTTCTAGAGACATAGGTTTTGTTTAACAGCTTCGGAAAATGGGGATGTTCCTGCATAGACACCCTCACTCTGAGATTCCAATTTTTCTCTTCTATCAAGTATGAGTTAGAGATTCATGGGGAAGAGACGAAAAAGTGAGCCCTTAAAAACTGGTGAGGGATAGGGAAATTCAAGACAGCGTTTTATAGTTTTTTCCGTCACAATTTCCCATCTCTCGAACCCTACCAGGGCCAACAGCCACGGGTAGGGACTTTGTTCAAAAAATTAACTTCTATCAAGAACATAAAACTTAACTTTTATGCCTGACTTTTATGTGGAGATGCTGTAGATAGGTTGAACCATTCTCTTTTTTTTACTTGTGGGATTATCCTAAGAAACAAGCTTATCATGGAAAATATTGTGTAATTCTTGGAATTATGTTCAAGTTTAAACCTTTACGAAAATTAAGTATTACGTCAAAGATGACTTAATAACCTAAACAAAACAAAAAATGGTGATAGGTATAATTAAGTCAAATCATTGCATAACAATCAATTGAAAAATGGAAGGTTAGGTCCATCTATTAAACTTATAAATGCCAAGTGTCACACAATATTTTACCAAATGAAGAATCTACTTTGCTCCAAATTGTTTCAAACCATACTCTATGTAAAGAGAAAATTATTCTATTTACTGGGTATTGCCTCTATTCCTAGCTCCTGCCTGTGTGGTTTGCTTTCATGTAATTTTTAGAGGGTAAACATCAATCATATTGGAGTTAGGAATTGATTCCCAACTTCCAAGACAAAAACATAAGAGTATACAGGACAAACAAGTAGGTAGATGGCAACTAGGACTATTATTTTTATTTATTCTAGTCGTAGTCTCTTCAAATACGCCGTTCCTCACAAAAGAAAATTGGAGAGATATATAGCTTGAGTATATGCATGCTAAAACATTGAACAAATGATTATATCACATATCACATTTAGAGCCTAAATCATGCAACCGACATTATATTTGACGTTTTCAATGGTTGAATGATATAATAAGACAGAAATAACAATTGAAATTAGACTAGACATTTCAAAATGGTTGAAAATCAATTCAAGATTTAGGCAATGAAAGCCATCAGTAACTGTACTAAAAAATCAATTAACCATCACAAATGCAAAGCTTAATTATCGAAACAAGCTTCAAGAATGTGTAAATATTAAGCTATTCCAGGACTTTGCACAGATATGGAGTCATTGTTATGTTCATTAATATGATTGAGTCTTAAATGTGATAGCAATGAATGCACCTGACAGGTCACAAGATTTCAGCTTTGTCATCTGAAGGGACTATGACCAGGACGAGCCCAAGATGCCTTGCTTTCAGACAAGGTGGCTTGACCAGCATCCTAGCTGAAAAATGCCAAACACATGTCCAGAGGTATACGCCGAGACGTCACAATCAGATTGACAAATAAAGTGAATTCAATAATGCTGTCCATGAATTTAGCATAGAATTGATAATTCAACTGATTCAATTGCAGGGTTCCCACGTTCCTGATTTTTTCCAATTTGCATATGGTTAATGGGCAGTAGTTCATTAATTGTGTCTTCACTTCTGTCCCCTTGAGCGTTGGATATGAATATGATCAATCAATCAACTTCAAAAACTCTGTTACCGACCAAGACAATTTAGTACATTCCCTTTCCATTTCATCATTCGTTGTATGTAATCAGTTGTGGTTTTGAGTAGTTTTCAATTCCAGGTAATCTGAGCTACCCTTTTGCGGGTAAAATAAACATTTGCTAGACAAAATGGCTGAGTCGGCATAATCACAACCAATCCCATTTTGCCAAAACTAAAGCTCAATCTCTTTGGGTCAGCACACTCCCTATATTTTACAATTTGTAGAGCCATCCTCATGCTGCCTTCAACTGGGACTTCACCTCACCATCACGTCATTGACACTATTTGTGATGAAAGGCATTAGACCACCATTAGATCCCCAAAAAAGTTTGCCTAGAACAAGAAGAGGGTAAGATTCATATGAAGATATCTCCAAACTAGTCCATCAAAAACCGCCCAAGACAGGACTAGAGACCCTTCTTTAGAAGCCTTTTTCTACGGGCAGATTTGTATTCTTTCACCATGGAATTCAATCAAACCCCAGGTGTGCATCCAGGATGACACGCGGTATGCTTAGGCCGGACCATATTAGATGCGGTGGGTCCCGTTCAGATATTATTCCTTGCTAAATTTAGGAAGGGTCTGCAACTGTCAAACCACGTGCACAAAATGCCGGTGGAGAGATGAAAGTGGTGGTTTAAGTTCGATTCTCATCTCATCACATCTGGTTGGTAAGATAAGGAAGCATTAGTTAAGGACAACAATGAATCAGATCAACAAGATTGTAAGAGTTTGGACTAGAATATTAACTAATAATATTCCTTTATAAACAAAAAGATAAAAGAAAAAGAAGATCTATCTTTAC